ATATGAAATACAGCACTTGACTTGGCAAGATTTCAGATTACTCGGCTGTACCTACGACAGGCGGTGGATGCTGTATTTGCTCCTTAGCTCTCCTGCCTTGTCCCCACGGCCCCTTACCTGCACTTGCTCACAATGAACGCACGCACAAGGAGTCGCGGAAGCGTTTCTGCACGGGGAGGGACTCTGATCCACAAGATCACATCCACTGTCACACCCTGAAAGCACGGTGGTATTTCCTGGAGGTGCAGGAGGTTCCACAGCAGGGAAGGGAGAAGACCCCTGGCAAAGCGACACGCAGGGCGGCCTGTGGCTTCACAACAGCTCTCTCACTCTGCTAAGTACAATTAAGAGAGGTGCAGCAGCGGCACACACCTTAGTACACCACTGGACTTACAAGTACAGCTTAACATTCCCAAAGCTTGCTCCGTCTAATGGAATAATCTTGATCTACTCTGAAAAAAGAAACTTTTTTTTTTATAAAAAACATCTGTTCACATTCTCCTTTGGAAACACATGAATGAGAACAATCTGCAAGTTCCTGCTGTATTTAGTAGTTCTGAAAACAAAAAAAAAACAATGAAAAATGTAATCTATGTATTCTATCATCAGTTAAAAGTTGTTGGGCAAAGTACTCCTTCATGGGAAATCAAAGTAAGCTACTGATACAAAGTACGTCTCAAAATTTTATCCACTAAGGCATCCAAAATGCAGTCATCGCAGCTCGAACTTCGCTCTCTCCCCCAAAATATATTGCTTATTTTGACAATACTTAAGCTACCTTTTAACAATGCTTTATAAATAACATTTTTTACATGAAGAATGCCATTTCAGGTAGTTGAAGAATTTTCATTTTTAAATTGAAATCTGCTTTTCCAGCTTAAAACCGTTCACTGTATGAAAAATCAATTTGTGAATAGTTTCAGTATGTGCAAAACAACTATTTTCTTAAGTCTCCTTGCAGAGAAACCTTGCCACAGGTTGTGGCAGTAAGCTATCCTCCAACAGGTCTGCATGACTATAGTGTTCAAACACACGCATTCATGTTAGCTGCCACTGTCAGTGGACAAGAGATACTGAAAAGTTTCACCATTATGGAAAGAAGTCCTGAAATACTTGCAAGCAACTGACTGCTTCTTGCTATATTGAACAGTATATTACCATAACAGTAACTTGTGGCGATATTTAATGACAAAAAATACCGTTATATTAAGAAAGCCATGGACAACAGGGGAAAAAAAGTCTCATGGGATTGTGCTTCCAGCTAGAAATGAAGTTTTCCTCTTAAAGACAACTTCACAGAAAAACCTTAAAAATATATATATAAAAAATTAAAAAAATAAAAGCCCTCCATCCTCTCAGTTCAGCAAATCTGCCTGAGGAGAAGATACTCAAAATAGCTGCAAATGAAAACGGCAAAAGCAATTTCCAATTAGGAAAGGACCCATTGGTGCTCCTGATGATGGCGCAAGTCCTGCTGAGCAATGCCTGCACTGTGATTGATGGAGGCCAGATATCAGTTGCGAAGCCTCTTTGTGTCCTCCCCACACAGACCATGCGGGAACTTCGAGCACTGTGGGCTCAAGATCATCTCTGAAGCTTTTGTGTGACTAATTTTACCTGCACATTTCAACCTGCGTGCAGACATTGAGACCTCAGGGTAAGCAAATGCCACATGCACTGAAATCTGGTTAATCCAACTTGGAGAATTTTCATTTGATTTTGTCAGACCCGTTATTAATAAGGCAAACTGAAGACTTCAGGAAAAAGGTCAAATCATACAAGGCTTGAAAAGAGAGAGGGAGTCAAAAGCTGCTAAATTAGGCACCCGTAGTTTGCCTTAGGGAGAGGAAGCCAGAGAAATCCAAGTGTGAATGAAGCAAAGAGTGCAGAGACAGAAAAAGCTCAGAATGGAATTTACAGATTCACACAGAGAGATGTGACCCACAGGTCATAAGGACACTATAGAAAGGGAGTTAAAAGAGAACAGCATAAGTTTCCAAGGAGGTTACACCACTGACGTACTGAACAATCTTTCATGCACCGTGTGCTTCCCTGTGAGAAGCAGAACCGCGATGGAGGCATCCGGTGGCGATGGAGAGCCGGGGAAACTTCTCCCAGCTGCACGTCAACTACCCAGGAAAGGTTTACACCCTGCTCTCCACACTCTCGTTTTTGGATGCACACGTGGAAGTAAATTTTCAAAAAATAGTAGGGCTGTATACAGTTGTGCCACAGAGGTTAAGAGATAAGGAAAATTTCCTTTCCTCTGCCTCCCTGAGTGACTGTTGCTGTACAGGAAGGGTGTTGCTTACGATTCACAAATTTGCCAGTTTACAGCTTTTCCACTGCACGTTATCTCATGACCAGATGACTACCTTGCAGGAAAGAAAAGTCACTCCAAACCAGATGGGGAAGGCCACTTGATGACAAGCCCGTGCAATTTTTCACTTCTGCAAAACTAACAAACTGGAGTGAGCAATTTATCTTCTGTGTCAGATACAGTTAGCTAAGGAACACAAAGCGATGCCAAGAATTAGCCATGGGAGTCAGCACTAAGGTGTCAGTTTTCCCTAGATTCAGAACAGGAACTAGTCTAGTAGCTGGTGATAACATTTTATTAGTAGCTACCTTTGTCTCCTATGTCAGCAGTTATGAACAGCTAAGGATTTAGACTATTAAAAAATTGTAAACATGACAGTTTAACTAGTTTCTCTACCACATCTTAAAAGTAAACTAACAGAAGGGCTTAAGTCAAAGGGAGATGAGGTGTATGATTTTAATAAACATTTTTCTTATTAAAATCTTGATATAGTTTAAATATACCATACAGAGGAAAAAAGCTATTTATAAAGCTACATACATGTTTCAAGTCAATGACGACAGCATAAATCATTCTAAATTCCCTCTCCACTTTTCAGAATGCCTTGTGTGTGTATATATGGTGAGCTACTGTGAGTTGTCTGCATATTTTCGTCTAGCTATACATTACAGGACTTAAAAAAATGTTTAAGCTATATACAGAAATATATATACATATAACATATATTTATATGTTATACATACACATACACTTATATACATATACACACAATACATATATATATATATATACACACAGTACTTTACATTTATATATAGCCTTTCACCCAAGGGCCTTGGATACTTTTTAACACACTGAGTCTCACAAAACTTTGTGAGGGAGGGAGCTTTATTTTACAGACTGTAGATTTTATGCCTACTCTAAACAGTTTCTTCCGTTGCTTTCTACTGACTTTACGCATTTCAGTTAGAGGTGGTTTTGGTAATGGAAATAATTACACCAGTTAGAAATCCAGGCATAAGGTATGTGTCGCATTGTACCTTTGCAACTATCCTTCTTAGTACATGAGAACAGCCATACCAGTATAAATTTTCTCTACACTAACACACCTATAGCTAGACTTGTGTAGCTGCGCTGCTTTTTATTTGTAATTGATGCTAGTATGGTAAAAATCTGATACAGTTTGGAACTTAAGATACACTGGAGGTCACAACAGGAAATCCAGAGAGACTCCAATCCTGGTACATTGAAACTATCATTTTCTAGGATGATCAATTTCGGAAGTATTAGTACATGCAGAAATAATTCTACAGTTGTTTTTTACTTGATTTAGCTACAGTTAAACTACACAAGCCTGGAGCAGTCAGCCTTGTCTAGAGAATAGGATTTTCAGCATCAATTTGGCAACTAGTGATCAAAATTTCTGATCTCAACTGACCTCCAGAGCTCAAGCAAGTAAACAAATTATAATAAGAGGCTTTTTCGAAAATCACAGCCATGTGCAAGTCCTGGTCATCTTCAACGAGCTGAGAGAAAAGAAAACCCAGTGGAACTCTGACAACGGTGAATTCCACTCAGATTTTGACAGAACATTAGTTTAGCTCTTCTCAAGAGAAGGAATTAAAAAAAAGCAGCACTAACATGGATTCAGGGATTGGAGAATTAAGAAAGAGGGAGAACATCACCACCACAAAAGCTCTTAACCATCAATACTTCAGTCTGCTAAGCTTTCAGAAATTTGTTTTGACACAGAAAAGGTAGCTCCTTCCTTTATTAATCACTAACTCTCAAAAATCTCCCAAGCATTAGAGAAAACAAGTCCTGCATTATGGTCCAAGACTGCCCTCCCCAAAAGCAACCAACCACTTCAAAAGTGAACATACAGTAGAACCCACTACAAAGCTGTTTGAGGATTTTATTCTAACCTAATTACTTGAAGATTTTTTTCAGAACAAGCCACTTTCCCTTCAGACCAATTCTGTGAAAAGAAGGGGTTGCCTGGCCTGTTTCATTCAGGATTCTCTGCTAACTGTAAAATGTGGGATGAATGTCTTCTGCAGGTCAATTTTTCCGTTACAAAATTCAGATTCTTAATGAACAACTATCTTTAGTGTATGCTGTTAGCTGAAGTATAAATGGCTAAATAAATAAAAACTATTGTTTCTTCAGTATGACTTGGTATTTTGTCTGTAATTTCTTTATTAAAAAACTGTAACAAGATACTTAAAAAAAGGCTAGATACAAAAGTAGTTAAGCTGCTCACGAACATTAAAGTTTTCCAAAATGTATCTTCAATAATCATGATCTTATAAACATTTTACAGTTACCAGAAAGTGCCCAGGCTGAGTTTACATCGTTAGATAACGTAGTACAAGTGTCAGGTTAGAACTGGTAGTGGAACAATCTCCTGACTGTCTGTTCACTGAAACAGGGATACAAAAATGTTGATTGTGAACTATGAAATACTGTGCATTGGCCTCATCATATGTACAAAAAAACCCAAAAAAAACAAACAAAAAAAGCGAACCAAAAAACCAAACCACTAAAGGTACAGATTACATGCAAAGTATTAGTGATGGTATCTGATGCACTAGAGTTCAATGCAATCAGAACAAAAATTGCAATGAAAGTGGTTTCATAAGTGAACGATCCCAACTTCGGGATCTGAGCTGTCAGGAACTTTTTACAAGTTCAATATACATGATACACAACTGCAGCCAACCACAAATTAAACACCATAAAAAAAAGTTAAAATAAAACACAGAACATACTTAATTTTTTATTTTGAAATTCCCTACTCCCTCTATACAAGATCCTTTGCTGAAACACTTTCCACAAAGGCAGCAGTGAATTTTCCAAACATTTTACATGTTTTCCCTCAGCAAAAAGATAAATCACAGTGTAAATTATATTGTTCTGCTGTCATCTTTGGCTGGGGTTAGGCAAAGGAGTTATTGACTAGCAAACTGTCGTGACCAGATACTGCCAGTGCTCCTTAGGCCTTTACGTTACAAATTTAGTACAGGAATGTTTTCATTTAAATCTTTAAAGTACCACCAGGGGTATGACAGCATTAACTTTCATAAACTTTTATAGACAAATGGAAAAATCTACAAAACTTAGCTAGTAATATTACACGGCAATACACACTTTTTTATACTCTACACAAAACCAAAATTCTTGGTCTTAATGGCGAGTAACAATTTCTGTTTCAAAATCTGCTTAGAGGAATAGAGTGGGACATAAAGGCGAGAAATGCAAGTGTTTGCTGTAGGAAGATGTTGGTCATCTGGTGGTCTTATTGTGATTGATGGCATGGGCTGGAATCCCTCCTCACTGGCAGGCAATGATGGACTTGAGGTCCAAAAGTAAACCTGCAAAAAGAAGACAGCATTCAAGATTGTGCTGTACATGCCTAAAAAATCAGATCATCTACGTGTTGTGTAGGGAGAGGTAAAGAAGAAATGCAGAATCACAGCAAATTTGATCACAGTACGTTCTGTTCAATACGCCAACTAGACTTGGTGGTCATGCTACGTGCTTTTGTAGTTCCTTCCTTCACTTCCTCTCCTCAACTGCTCGCTATGTTACGCACTTCTGTTAAAACTGGTAAAAGCAGCACTCACAATGATCCTATATTAACAAATCCTCAGTAAATGGAATGTCCTCAAATCCATCTGGGAAGATGGTGACTGCCATCAATACAAAATACATCAGAAATCTCTCACAAACCAGTTTAGTGACTGCAGAATATAGTACTTGTACAGACAAAAGGCAGCAACAGATCCTTGGTTTATTGTCTCAAATGTGAAATACTGACTTGCAGAGCAGAGTCACTACCAAAGCGTAACCATTTGCCTTGACAAATGTGCTCTAAATTTTCCTCTTTTCAGATTAGTGCTTGTTTCCTTTTAGCAAACTGTAAAGGGAAGATAGTATCTTAAGTAGCAAGTTAAAAGCAAATACTTTTAACAAGTGTACAACTATTTACAGGCAAGTTTTCCGAAATGAAACCCCTTGAACAGTATCTGGTTCTTTCACGCTTCTCATCAGCTGCTCTTAAAGGGCTTTGAGAAGGAGATAGTATGTTTCTGACATCTTGCACAGAGGGAACAGGTGTTGCCCTCAGGATACACAGAAGTCAGGAGAGTAGATGATCCAGGAAGAGAACTCGACCTCAAAATCCTGCTAGCCCTCGACACAGACAACTAACCACAGATAAGGATGCACTACGCTTATTTTCAACTGAAAGGAGGTCTAGGATTCACACCTGGTGTTTCCAGAACCTAAAGTCTAACCAAACCCTACTACCATGCTCTGCTACCTTAGCTCTTCACATACAAAGTCTCTGCAGGCAGGCACAGTTAAAAACAGTAATGACACCACAGTTATTTCAGTTCTTCTGCACATTTCCACAGGGAATGGACAACTTACTAGGTCTTGTCTTTCTGTCATGCTCATCTTCTCAACTATGGACCAAAACCAACGCTTGAATTGCAAAAGCTTCTCAGCATTTTCACCTGGGCGAAAGAAGAAAAGATAGATAACTTAGCTGATACACCAGACAATAAACATTTAGAGATCTGGTTTACATGTACTGCAGGTTGGATTTCAGATACAATTTCTTTCATAAAATTCAATATTGGAGACACTAGTAATTTCAAAACGAAAGCGCATACTTTTGAATGTAAAGTTTAACTGTGACATACCTCAACACAATTCCAACCACCCTCACCCCCCAAAAGCCTAGCAACAGCTGATTATAGCCTAAAATTATTTAAGAAATATTAGACTGTATGCATGACACTTATAGTTCTGAAGTTAGATCAAAAATTTCAGAAGGAAAGATATGCTACCAATAATACAACCCCTGTATTTAACATTAGTTTACAGCAAATTTGGAAAAAGTGCTTTTTTCCCCCCCTAGCTGAAGGTAAATATTTTCAAAGGTATGTTAAAAACACAGTAATTGTTTTACTAGGGCTCTCGGTGACTTATTAACTGATGTCAAATTTGCAGAGGTACTTTAAGTTTAATGCTGGTAACTCCACACAGAACAAACAGTGTTATCCCTGCAATTCTCTTTCTGAATAAGTTATTTCATACCTGACTCATCGTTGAAAGAGGTAAAGCTGATTAGCATTTGCACATTTACTTCACCACAGCCATTTACCAAAAGTCTGAAATCTTCTGCTGTCAAATCTTCTAATGAATTCTTTGGAAGTACATCCAGGAGACCCTTCCTCATTGCCTTAAGTAAAAACCACAAAATTTCAGATTGACTTTGTAAAACTCCCTATTAACTCCAAATTCATGACTCTCCTAGCTGTGCTTTTCTTCCAAAGCTTTACCATCTGAGACACAAATTTCCTGAAACAAAGAGCTGCATCAACCTGTTAAACCCTACTTACTACTGCAAAAGTAGTTAAACCCTACTTACTACTGAAAACCACTAATAGTTTGAACTACTATTTCACCAGGAGCAGAAGAAAACGTACTCTCTAATGCTAAAATATTTAGGTATTTTGCTGATGTACACTGAATCTGAAGAGAATTATGAAAAATTAATCTTGCACTTTACTTTTACTTTGCTTCCACTCACATGCCAACTCGAAAATGTTATACAGAGAGAGATGTTTTCTATAAATCAGAAATACTCTGAAAAGACTGGAAATTCTGTTTTCAAAATGGAATGATATGAATGATTTGTTTTAGTAAATTCCAAAACTGTTACAGTTCTCAACTCTTAAGATAAACAAGAGGCGAACTATTAGTATGGGCAGACATGGAAATCGAGTAGCTTAATTCCAGGAACATGTTCTTTCTGTGAGAATTTTGGACCCGAACTGCATAAAGTAAATCCAGCAGTCTGCCAGCATCTCAGGTTTTCGGCAGGAAATCACAGTCAGCAGAAATGACCAAGTTTAGATGTAGTATCAAACACACAGTAAGTGGTTCCAAACACTGGACTTCCATTAACTGTTTACAAAAATGTATTATTCCATATTTTTTATTTTTAAAGGGCTTCAAACCCCAAATTATTTCTAATCCAGTTTTAGGGTCAATTGTTAGGTTTCCTTCCAGGCTAGTAAAAAAAGAACAAAGTTGTGCACTTCGTAACTGGTTTTTCCTTTTAAAACAAGGACACAAGTCAGAAGTTCAGGGTTATTCATGTAAATATTTTGAAATTTCTTTTTATTTTTTTGCTTATAAGGCTAAACAAAACAAAGGTGACAGATTATTAGAACAAAGTAGCTGCTAAATACAAAGCAAAAATTCCAAGATGTTATGTGCCATCTAAGCTCACGAAATAAACATATATGGCTAACCAATGAGATCAAGTTTAAAAGAAATTATCTTTCATTCTATAAAACAAAGAGAAAATGCTCTGAAGTGCTAATTCTTCACAGTACTACAGAAACAGCTCTACAATTGTCAAAAAAAAAATCAGAAAATTAAAAATGTCTGATGAAATTGTCAAGACTTTAAAAGAAATGTTAGCAATACCATAATGAGGAAAAGAATTAATTGACTAAAATATTACAATTTTCTTTTATTTAAAACCCCCCCCACAAAACAAAACAAAAACCAACCAACCAAGAAAATAACCAAACAGACCAAAAAAACCCTCACATGCTACCAAAGACTTACATGTAGAGGCTGTTCTGCTACTACCAACATTCGGTGTTCTGCATATTTCCGGACATACTCATATACATTCTGAGGAGTGACTGGTATATTTACACCATTGGAAATAAGTTCAACCTATGGCAAAGTAACAAGAACCATTTGAAAAGAGAAGGGGGGAGGAAAAAAAAAAAAAGGAAAAAAAAAGGAAACAAGGAAATGAGATTATTACAATAGTCACAGTATGCTGCACAGTGATTTATTGCTTAATATGCCTCTAAACAAGCAAAATTTACTACTATGGGTTAGCTTTAAAGATTGCCTAGGATTGACTGCGCTATTCAGGCTTTATGGTACATTCTACAGCATCTTGAACGAAAAAAACCCCCACACTTTAATGTCTGATAACACTGTATTTGAATCTAGGAAGGGTAAAACATCCCTGCCATCTGAGAAGAGCACCTGTACATTACAGCATGCAGAAGCTGGGGAATTCTGAGCCCAGAGCGACACCGGTTCAGCCGTGCTTACCTGCCCTCCACCCTCCTCCTTACAGAGGTCTATGGCAAAGGCCAAGTCCATTGCTGCAAACACGGCATCAGCATCGGTACTCTGGGAAGCGAGGATAAGTTGCCGAAGGCTTTCGTACATAACCGGATCGAAAAAAGCAAAGTCGTGCCAGTTCACCTATAAACAAAAAAATACAGATGTTTGAAACATTCCAGCTGTTTAAGCACATACTCAGAATTATGTGATCTGGCACTTCTATGCTTTGTTACACAGGTTACTGCCGCCTGCTAGTGCACAACCCACCTAACAAAGCACACAAACGTAAATGAAGGCAAACCCCTATTTTCAGTCTGCTTTTGAAGGTACATCAGAATACACAACTGAAGTAGATTAGCAGAATGTAAAGACAGACCCATAAGGCCCTTCCTGCTTTTAAGGGCATAGAGGTTATAAAGAAAATTTATACGTTTTGTTTTGGTTTTGTAAACAAATTCTTCTCTGTATCACCTAGATCAGGTATTTGATGAACGTTGACTGAAGTTGGAAACAATTTGCAGAAGCATTCCAAAACGCTGCAAGTTCTCCTCCACTTAAACACATAACCTGCTGCTGCTATATACACACATTCCAGTGACTGATGGCCCAGCAGCTGCACACCACACAACTCAAATGCCAGCCTCTACTGCTCGCTGTTTTCTGCAGTTCCTTACTTCTTTGCTCAATAGTCAGCCTGGAGACAAAAGTCAGCTACTAACTAAACTAAACCAAACCTAACTAAAATACTCTTTGATGCATCCAACATTTAAGCAGAAGGAATACCTATTCAAGAACAAAAACCTGAATAAAAGAATTAGAAGGGAATCTCTTTTGGAAGACATCAGGGGATATATGGAGGTGTATCTATCCACCATTAACCTTTGTTCTTTAAAGGTTTTATGTATGTTGGCTAACTGATTATGTGATCAAGATTGTTTTTAAGGAAAGACCAGCAATAAAAAACCCCATGGCTTAAGCTGACTAACGCCTTGGGGTGGGGAGGAGCTTTTGCCAAAAGTTTAGGCAATTATTTCTCTGAATTAAATTATAGCCACACCAGAGACAAAATTTTAATTACAATTCCATTCAACAAGTTTTCTCAAATGTTGAAGAAAATGCTTTTTGGTAAGCTGAGATGCTATTGCCTAGAACTGTCTGACATTTATCTCTTTGAGTCTCTTCAGGAAGAGAAAAAGGTGAGACAGGAAGCTGTTCCTGAAGAGAGTCAGAGGTTAATCTCCTGCAAATCATTCCATCTTAGTTATATAACCAAATTTTAGTAAGTCTACCCGACTCAAAGTCTAGGAAATGAAAAAAAATTAATACTCCTCAAATTAAATTTAAAGGCATCCTTGAAGTTCCCGTGTGAACTCTACATACATGTACCTCTCAACACATGCAGGTTAG